GACTTTGAAAATAATTATGCATACAATGGACTCAGTACAAGGTGCGTTCCTATTAGTCTTCCTACCATTATGACCAATTTGCGAAAACAAGGTCAAACAACTTCAATAGGAAAGACTGTTCAACATTCCCATGCAAGGGTGAATGGGCTGAGGGGGGACTGAGAAAGCCAGCATGGAGTGTGAAAGCAACTCATGAAAGCAACTCGACAGGGCACACCATAACACATTTAAATAAACAAGTAATTAATTCTTATAATGAATTCGTGATGCGAGGAAATAGGATTGGTGATTAGCCCATGGCGAAAGGAGAAATACCAGAAATGCTTAGTAGACAATTAGTCACTTGTCTCTTTGACGAGTTGTAGTGTGGTGCTAAGAATGGCAAGACTCACTGACGATGCCGACGATACGTCTGTGAATGTACCATGTCCACGGTCCGACTTTGGAAATTATTATGCATACAATGGACTCCAGACTAGGTGCGTTTCTCTAGGTCTTCCTACCAATATGACCAAGTTGCAAAAACAAGGTGAAACAACCTCGATACAACGAAAGGAGACTGCGACCACACAAAAGGCCACACCATCTTGGTCTTCATACCTTCTAAGGTATTATTGTTGGAAACTTTCATTTCGTATGAAATTGCAGGATAAAGAGATTCGATGGTCGATCTCACCACATGACTGATTCCCTTTGTACTACAGTCGTTTAGCTTTACTGCGACGTTCAGGCTGACGTAGTCCAGGGACATCTTCCTTCGTTTCGAATGGAAACGGGCTGAGCTTACGTCCATCAGGTGATAGATATTATCATAGCTAGAATTCATTCTTACAAGTCTCACGTTAACACTAAGTCAAAAAGGCCGTCCGGTTCTATCTTATCTACTATATGCAATCATAACTAAAAAACTAAAATGTATAGGCATCTATATCAAATGGCTTGGGTAATTATCTTTCATATTGGTCATGGTATTCTTACTTAAGTATGTGTGTGTGTGTCAATGTGTCTGTGGTAGCGTCTATACACAATAGCGGTCATAAAGCCTAATGTCCGGCTCGGATCATCAAATCTTAATGACCCAAGCAAAACTCCGATCGAGACTGGCTAAGTAGGTAACTATCTCTGGTGGATAAAGGCGTAAGCTTGTATGAGTTTAAGTCAGGCTACGAAACCGTCCAACATAACTCGTCCGTCTAGGGTCACTAAGATATGACGACCTAAGGAAAGATACAGGTGGGATTACGTATATTCGTACGCTTGGTTAGGTTGATGAGCTTAATATAAGTGTTAAACAAGAGTGGGTTTAGTTACAACCATCGCTAGGCTGACAAATTGAGTCACCTTTTTGACGGCTGCTCAGCACTCTTTCTCCTTTAAAATTGCAATCAAACATAAGTAATTCGTAACAGATTTCTACCACAGTTCCTAACATTCAATGTATTCCCTGATCTATTAATTTCAATAGCTTCCCTTATCTTGAGTTTCCTAGCAGACGTACCCTAGTCATTATTAGAGTACCTTACATTTCGTTTGAAGAGGTGAGTGGAAGGGATTCGTAAGTTGGTCACACAGGAAGCTGTAGAGGAATTGCCGTGCGTCATGTGATGGACATGGTCAGAGCAGGGTGCCATGCTAAACAATAATTCACCAAAACATGAGGATAAAAAAGGAAGCCGGCTTCAAACTTATCTACTTCTAGTGGTCCAATTTGGCCCACTTAAGGAAACATCTCATGATTTGGTTAGATATCCTATGCTTTTCCTAAATGTTTGCTGAAAAGTTAGGCTAGGACGAAAGCTCAGCAAGAATTCATCGGGGTCGCATGGTTGTGCGCCAAGTACCTATTTGCACAAATTTACAATCACGGCCCCAAGTCAATCCCCCTAAAGTTTCTAGAGGCAAATTACCAATCCCTAACACTCGCCTCTTCAAACTAAATGAAAGGTACTCCAACATGAATCTATCGAAGAAGTCTTCGAAACCCAGTTTTACTAAATACCTACGTAGTATAATCACTATCCGTCCTGCGTTCAGCCACTTTTGAATGTCCGACACACCTAATTCTGCAAGCATTGTTTTGCTCCGATAATTTTTGGTGGATATGCTGAAAGGTCTCATCAGCATAAGGTCGAGTGTAGAAGCACAAATCTGGTAACAGCCAAATCTTTATAATGAGTCATATTTCTGTATAAAAGTGTGTTTTTTTTAAACAGTTTTTATCCCCCAATTCCTTACACATTTGTCTATCCTCTTGGAAGGAAGGCACAAAGACAAAATTCGGAAAGAGAAAGGGTCTCAGAACATCTATCCCAGACCAAATAGTTTCCGTATGTAAATTTAATTATCATTAAGCAGATAATAATATCAAGTCAGGCAAAATTAGAATTATTTTCCAGGAATAAATGTTT